CATTATCATAAGAATAGAAGTAATTGAACGTCAAAAAGACTTCGGAACTTTCTCTGTCTTTCTCTCTGCAACTTTATCTCGCTTGTCACAACACAATAACTGACATTCCATTTATTTTTAACTATTGATTTATTATTATTATTATTTATTATATCCTTTAATTCCTAAAGGAACATACGGCTTCAGCTGAGCGTCTCCATTGCCTTCGGTTTTCTGCCAACTTTTTCACTCCGCTTCAAGTCTGCCCACATGCTCTCATCTCCTCTTCACATCACCTCCTCAAAGTCAGCCCACCATCGCACTGACGACCAACTCGCCGCTTACCTTTCGGGTTCCACTCGAGTGATGGCTTGTCTAGTGATGTCACTTGATGATTTGTTTTCTCAGAGTATGGCCAGCCAATCCATCTCCATTTCTTCCTGCCTATTTGTTTCACAATCGGTTCCCGATTGGTTTGCTCACTGCCAGAGATCCCTGCTGATCTTTTCTGGCCAGCCATCTGATCTTGAGTATCATTGAGCGAAGACAGCTAGCTGTTGATGAAGGTCTGTAGTTTGCTTGAGGTGCTCTTTATGACGCGCTGGCCAAGTCTGTGATCCGTATAGTGAGTAGCACTGACTTCTTCACATTGGAGTTGAAAATCCGGATCTTGTTTTTGATGCTGAATGCTGTTGACCTCCACACAGACTTGAGAGTAATGAAAGCTTCTCTTGCTTTCCCGATGATCCTCGCCTTGATATTCTCGTCAGTTTCGCCTGTGGTTGAAACGAAGCTTCCCAGGTAGGTAGGTAAACGAGGTCGCTTCTTTCAGGTTCCTCCCATTTATGGTGGTTGTCGTCTGTTGTTGTTGCTATTGGTGTTGGCCAAGAATCTTCATCACCTCTGTTTTGTCTATGTTCACTTGTAGTCCTATCTTTGATGCTTCTTCTGCCAACTTGTTGCTTTTTACTTGTATATCTTCCAGTTTGTGGGAAATCAGACATATATCATCGGCGAAGTCCAGATCCCCCAAGTTTTTTGTGTGAGTCCATTTAATGCCTGTTTCCTCATTGCCTGTTGTCTCTCCCATTATCCAGTCTACTGCAATCAGGAAGATTATTGTCGAAAGTAGACAGCCTTGCCTCACTCCCGTCCTCACTTCGGAGGCTTCCGTAAGTTTGGCATGCATCATTGTCGTATAACTGTTGGGTGAGATGTATAACTGTCGATGGCACCCCACATTAGCAGCGAAGTAGTTGTCAAATGACCTCTCGATTGACGCTGTCGAAGGCCTTTTCAAAATCGATGAAGTTGATTTAGATAACATGATTTCCTAATAAAAAAAGACTTCCGATTACTCAAATCTGAAACATAAAGGTGCCTAAGTTTGTACTGATCAAGCTAATGTCTATAATGAGAGTCAAAGCATTGCAATAACATGAGTTTTTATAGTCGAACAAAAAAATATTATATCAAAGCATTTCTTAATACTACCCAAATGTATAGGAATGGTAAAACACCATTTCGATTGGATACTAGTAATTAGTGTGATGTGTCTAGTCCTTTCTTTGGTGCAGACTGAATTCTATCAGTCAGGTTTGCACTAGTTACTAGTGTCCAATCAAAATACTCACTACAGTCCTACAGGAGGTCAGTCGCGAGTCAGCGCGAATAGCTCAGTGGTAACGTCTCTGACTGCAGACGCCACTGGATGACGTGGTTTCAGTCACAGAAGGGACATGAGTTCCTTCAAGGTGATTGCAGATAAACCTTGCTGGGTGGTGAGTGCCAGCTAGCACTAAACCTAGGTCAAGCAAGGTTTCCTGTGGCCCATTGCCTCCAACTATCTTATATCATCAAAACACCAATTTATCTTCAAAATGTCAGTTTGCAGAGATTTAGTTGATTTGTAATTTGAACATGAACTGACCTCAGTAAGACAACCATTGAGTACTAGAAAGGAGTACTAAATAGCTGTTTCGTTCATGCTTGGGACTTTTCACCAGTACACGCACACACACATGACACTACCATTAAGGAGAGAAACACAGGATCTTTAGGCTACAAGGGGAATCGGTCGACCACTCAGCCATCAGGATGGAATCCAATTTGTCCATCAGTTCTAACTTTTATCAATTCCCGATATTCACACAGCCACTAGCCGATGTTATTGGCAGGTGTTTCTCCTCCCTCACACTCGGTTTGATTGATCCCACAGCTCATGACTTCTGACTAGAATTTCAAACAAATTAATTCTTCAATCAGTCACTAGTGAACCTTAGATTAATTTTGAAATGTTGGCTTTCTCTTGTCTGTTTAACACAGTATAACTGATTAGGACTCATGTCAATGTTGTTTTCAGTGAAAGTTATACGTTTTGCACGCTGCTTGCATAATATTGTGTCTCAACCCACTTCACAAAGCTTACCGCTTTTTGTAACCTGTTAAAAACCATTCTCAGTACATGAGGTATCATTTGTAAACTTATTTAAGAGGGGATACTTGACTTAGTGTACGGTTTCTTGCCTAAGTTTAGTATAAAAAGGTTTGAAGTATGTTAGAAGTCCCCCTTAGTGCATACAAGAAAAAATAATCTATTATTATCCTTAACCAACCTTGGTTAACCAACTTTATCTGATTATATATTTCCGAAATTAGTGTTAATTATCCCCTCCCACACACACGCACCTTATTTTCAGATCCCTTATCCTTTATTGAATCCAATTTCAGATTTTCCCATTGAAGTTGTTGTTGCTTTTACAGGGTGGGGTAGCCAAACTCACGTCAAATCTTCCCACTTTATTGGGCTTGCTTACTACAGACAAGACTTAAGATTGCATCAGCCATGAGTTGAACACGGATCACGTATGCAGTTGAATAACATTCCATCACGTTATAGACATATTTTAATGACACTTTTTGAAATGTTGAGATAGATTTTTTTAATATCTCAAATGCTTATTAGAGTGTTCTTTAAGCTGGATAATTTAACCGTGAATCTTTCATCATCCTTCTGATAAATCGTCTTTAACACCGACTTCAGTGAAAGCTTCACAATTCAACCATCCAGCTTAAGAAACACAACACCCTAAAAATATCTTACGTATTTTACACATCCTATTATAATTTCAGTGTTGAGTTCGTTTACGTTATTCAAGCGATTTGCACATTCCAATTTTGGAGATAACACTTAATCTGCAAGTCTCATACGGAGCCGAAACCCCATGATCCAATAATTCGTTCGAATTTAGACAACAACAACAACAAAATGTATTAGTGATGAACACCTATAATTTGTCTTTTCCGATTGACAGTAACAAAAATTAACACTGACATTCTTTCAAGATTATCAGTCGTTGAATATATTGCGTGATCACCTTATTAAAAATTCAGTATAATAACAAGGTTCATGTATATTATGATCCCCTTCTGTGTTATTGATGATGGGTAAACAGACAGGTCTTAGTGACAAAATATAGTCTTTTCCACAAGAAAATGATTACATTATATTATGTGCATATCTAACTGAAGTAATCATAGATGTTTATCAACTATGGATATGATTAGAAGTTATTTGTTAGATGGTGACTAACAATGGAATCGAGGACAACACACGTTTCATCCAATCTGGGAATGACTTGTCATTTGGATGTACCTGCATTGGCTAGTCAGTGAGTGATAGTGTCCCTGCCGAGGCTCGAACCCAGTGCCCATAGTTTCAAACACCAAAGCTTTATCCGCTAGACCACTTGGGCCACGACAGCCACCTCTTGTGCAATGGGTTATATTAATTATTTAGTTCATTTTTTAGATTTTCCCGTCGGTTGATTGGACCGAAGTGCTCGATCTCAGGTTGACATATTATCCTGTGCAGATGCTTCGATGATGTCTGGGCACAAGAGGTGGCTGTCATAGACCAAGTGGTCTAGTGGATAACGCTTTGGCGTTTAAAATTATGGCCACTGAATTCCAGCTTCGGTGGGAACATCATCGTTTACTTCGGAGTGTAGGTACATCCAGATGATGAGTCCCAAATAGGACGAAATGCGTGTTGTTTAAGGTCCGCTGCTATCCACCACTATCCTCTGGTTAACTTCCAGTTACATGCTCAGACATCGTCGAAACATCTGCACAAAAAGCCGACATGTCAACCTGAGACCAAGCACTTCAGTCCAATCAATCGAAGAGAAATCTACGGTCGAATTAAATATGGATATAATATTTGTAATTCAAAAATAGAGTACACTGTGAAGTGTATTTAATATTATTATTATTATTAACATTGTTGTTACATACTAAATACGGGTTGATGACTAGTAATTTTTAAAAGTAGAGGACGGCGTGTTCTGTTTCTTTTTGTCCTCAATTCAATACCGGAATGATGGATGAATATTCCCTTACCCTACTGTAGTCTTTTCATCATCTGATTGGTTATTATCAATTGAGTCTAGTTGTAACAGACCACTCTCATAAATTTTTTTTGGGTTTAGAAAATGAACAGCAAAAGGAGAGTGGTGGTGGAGGTAGTGGTCAGAAGCAGTGGCGGGGGGGTGGGGTGGAGAGGAGGAGAGAAATTGTATTGGAGCATAATATGTCCCAGGCTTTTCACATCTTCCACTTGTTGTTAGCTTATTTTTTCTTAAAGGCGTACTCGTGTTCACTCACTCTCTCTCTCTCTCACACAAACACACACGAGATACATAGTTTATCATCTTAAACACCAGAAGTAGGTGACACGTTCGCATCTCAAAATCTTTTCACATTCTGATTCGTTCTGCATAAGAAAATAGAAGAAGGAGAGAACAGTATAAAATAGTAAATTGTTGAGTATTATTCACTTTTTATTCAGTTATTATTCAGTTTTTATTTGTTCTCTTACGGAATATACATTTATATACATATATAAATACAAAGTATATAGAAGACTGAAGTCTTCAAACTTGGTTATCATCGGACATATTGCAAACTTTCTCCTTCATTATTTTGTATAATTATTCCTTCATTTTTCTCTAAAAATTAAGATTTTCTCGAGTTGGGATTACACTTCCAGTCAAATTTAACTCTATCATCATCATCACTATCTCCATCAATAACATCATCAACGTCATCATCAAGTTACTTCGATATCATGTTCAAGAATTCAATGTCAACCTTAGTACTACCAGCTAATTTTCATACAAGTTCAGAAAATTGTATGGATTTTCGAGATTCGTTAAGCAGTATAGATTCGGTAAGTACTTAACTTAACTTAACGTTTATAATAAAATATATAATTTATATATTTTCAAATATCGTCAAACATCGTTGAAGGCAATCAGTATAGGAAGCCTTAGACTTAGGTGTTTTACTTATTAACACTTATCAGTAGGGTATATCTTCATGTTCACTGAAATTAATTGATTTTCCCTTGAAGATTGTTAATTATGTCATACAGAAATCTAAGTGTATAACTTCTTAACTTAACATTAATTCCAAATTCATTACAATAGTGAATCATCTGTCTTGCTGACACCATTGTAAAAATATGACTGGTAGAATTCAGTTAGCGTTGAGAACCAAAACCTGTAACAGTAACTACACCCTCAGACACAGTGAACTTATTCACTAGTGAAGTTGAAGCTGACTATATTTCAACCAATAGATACAGTAAATGAAGGCAAAACATTCAGCTTTTGTGATACACTCAGTATTAATTTACAAAAGTTGTTCAGTAGTTAAACAATAAAGATGCATGATTACCTTAAAGCTTACTGAGATAGGTTGGAGGGTTTCATCATTAGGTAACATCAGTTAGAGAATTATTGAATAACCTGCAATGAGTATTGGACAGCTTTTTCATCCCACTAGTTTGGGAATCATCGGAAGTACGCACCCACCACTAGGGTTCTAACCCACGACCTTCCGGTTACACGGCAAGCTCATATACATTGAGCCACTGGGCCAGCACATGAATTCTGACTTCTGTCGATTCGAATCCCAGTGGGTGGGTACTGCCGATGATTTCCAAACTAGGATGAAACAGCTGTCCAGTACTCTATGTGGCTGGTTCTCAATGGTTCTCTAACTGATGTCAATCCGTGGTCAAACTCGTAACGAAAAATTGAGTTTACCAATGAAATAAAACATTTGTATTTACAGATAACTGGAGTTGAGATGTTCTTCCTATGAACACATCACTAAAAGTCTTCATTTATTGATACCTTCTGAGTTTTTTGACTATGGGAATATTTTTACTCTGTTAAATCTGCATGATTTGGGCCTATTTTTACACGAAATATTCAAATAGTGAACCGATGAGAATCGAAGACAATGTCTATTAGGACAAATGCAGTGTAGGTACATAAATTTGGTATACTTTTGGTATCTGCAAGTCTTTATTGGCCCATCATTTGCAAACTAATCGAATACCAACACATTCGATAGCTTGTTAGGTTCTGCACAGCATTGTAACATTCTACTCACAATTTCTTCTATTCTTTGATTGCTTTTTCCAGTGTCCCAGAACATGTTGTTGCGTTTTTGAATTCTTTTGGCGTTATACTACTTATATCTGATTATAAGTAGCACTCACCACAGTAGTAACCTATATAGTAGATATGACACTGAGTATTCATACTTTACTTTCTCTTTTTTCACCTTTAAAATTTAACAAAAATACAGAATCTACCAAGCTTACCACCAGTAACTAAATGGAATTATGAAGATACTGGAGAGTATATTTCCAATATTGACATAAAGAATACTGTCACTAATCTAATGAACGATCAAGCAATATCTCAACATATCAATGCCAATCAATATCAAACTGCTCAATCATCTTTATTAAACTGTAGTAAACAATCCTTTCCAACACTTCTACCGTTTGGAGATAGTGGTTGTATAAGTTTAACTGATGAGACTAGTCTGATTAGTGTAAAGCATTCAACATCTACCCCAGTGCATACAATGGATAGTGATAATACACCAACAACAAATGCTAGTACAACTACAATAAGTCCAATAAATATAGACAGTTTAGATCGTTCAAATGATACTCAAGTTATACCTGTAATTTCGAATAAAACTGACCAGAGTTTACAACCTATGAATGATAATTACTATACATCCGCTAGTACTATTACCACTACAACGACTAACACTGCTATCAATAATGCTAATCCTGTTATTACTATTATTACTACTGCAAATAATAATAATAATAATAATAGTAATGAAAACAGTAGTAGTAATCAGTTAAATGAACAACAAAATGTCGGGCTAATTTATTATTCTGAAGAAAATCAAACTCCAGTAATCAAACAAACTGTAGAGCATAAAAGAAACTGGAATACTCCAGTGAATACACTTAGTGTTATGCATAATCAACAAGATGAATTAAATCTAGATGAATCACCGTCTGATAATGAGCTCAACTTGAGTTCAGAGTCTATGAATCGAAGAAATAGAGCAGATGTAAAAGTAAGTTGATTAGAATTTTAATTAATTTTTTTCCCTTCAGTTGATTATGTGTAGTGCATTATGGAGATATATGTTGATTACGTGAAACAGTCTTTGTGTATTCATTCATTCGACCTTGATAACCTCCATTAAGTAAAGACTTCGAAGATATGGGAATGAAGCGATACGAATTGAGAAAAAAACACAACAACAACAAAATAGCTACACTACCTCGAATCGAATATCAACCACTTGATCTAACCTATTGTCATGTGAATGGGATACATCCAAAGATTTTAGTGCAAATAGGATTCGCAGATAAATGGCTTAACTTTCTGAGAAACGGTCACAAGCAGTACAGAATAACCTTCAGCAAGAAAACAACCAATCATAAGACATCGCTTCTCCGCTGACAATAATGTACATAAGCATCTATAAATATCTCTTTATTTTCTCAATAAACGATATATTGCCTGGCCTTTGCCTTCTGTCGCTATATATATATATATATATATACCCCATTGAGAGAAATACACGCAAGTGAGTTGTGTCACTCAACGGTCTCCTCAGTGTATGTTCAATCCATCCATTTCCTTTGGCATGTTATTTGGATGATAAGTTCTTGGCTGGTTTCGTCACCTGAGTTCATTGTTGCTAATCCCTTAGGACCGATAGTCTGATCTTCAGGAATGAAGCGAACGAAGCTGTTAAATGAAAGTCTGGAAACACTTTTTTGTGATGCTTGGATGAAGTCTGTAAACCCCATAGAAGCCGTGGCTAGCTTGACGTTAGTGTCGAAAATTGGAATCTTGTTACATAGGTCAAATGAGGTGGACATTGCTTTCAGATTAATAAAGGTCTGTCTTGACTGTTCCATCCTCATCTATCCTGCATGTAGTCAAAACTACGCTGACTAGGTAACTAAAAGACGTATACCATATTTATACTTATTATTATTATTATTAGTACTATTGTATTGTTAATTAATTTTGCGTCTCAAATTTTTTAAATTTTAGATACAACCTTATGCTCTTCGTGGTAATATTGAAGTATTTCGTTGTCCATTATGTTCAAAAGATGAAATATTTAGTCGTGGGCATTTAACAAATCATTTACAAGATCATCAAAGCAATTTTAAACGTGAAGATTATAAGCATGTTTGCTGTTTTTGTTTCAGTGAATTAAGTTCAAACAGTTCACTTGAACGTCATTTATTAACTCATACAAGTAGGTTAAAAATGCATATATGTATATATAATAGTTGGTTTGTAATGATTAAATTTCATTATAAATTATATAAATTAATCTCAGCGTGTTAAGAAAATCAAAACAAGATTTTTCTGAACGTTTCGCCGTGTAAGCCACAGCTTCTTCAGCAGATTTATTCGTAACACCTACGGTCTGGAAACCTATAGTGATTAAAATTTGTTTATACGAGTTTGACCACGTATTAATATCAGTTAGAGAACTATTGAAAACCATCCACAAGGAGTACTGGACAGTTGTTTCCTTCTAGCTCGGGATCCATGGACATTACACTCCCACCACCAGGTTTCGAACACATGACCTTCTAGTTACAAGGCAAGTTCGAATACCATTCAGACACTGGGACCGACCCGACTCAATGGCCGTCCCATAAATTCTAACTTCTACCATTTCGTGATTTAGCGTGACTGGTACCAAGCAATGTGGTCTTCGGTGAGAAATCCATCCTCACACTTGACTGGATGAACCTCCTGGTCACAACTTCTGACTAGAACTCCAGAAAACCCCGTCTTGTAACAAGGTATTAGCGAGCAGTACTCAAATGGTTCAAATGGTTCTCTAACTGATACCAATCCGCGGTCAAACTCGTAAATAAATAAATAAATAAAATATATATATATATATATATATATATATATATATATATATATATATATATGGTAATTTTTATAGTATTCATTACATTAGAAGGTAATGAGAAATTCATTGTGCTATGTACTACTGACTGATTAAAATAAGTAGTTGAATTGTACCCACGTCAATCACTAATGTTTACTTGTTAGCTGGATAAGAGTGATCTAAACACCTGATGAATATTCCGCTTGTTTGGGTCTGGGTTAATCAGTTGTGTCTTGGATTTGTCTCAGTTCAGAGAGCCGGTGAATACAATTGGAACCATCTTGATGATAACCAAAAAACGGAGGAGAATTTGAAAATTTTACCGTCAAGATTTGAAGTTTCAGTAGTCATGGAAATTTATTTTTTAACAGGGTGAGGTTGCTATCCTCACGTCTAAGTCATTTGAAACTTTGGAAGTGTTGTATTAGATAATAAAGTAGCATTATAATTGAAGATTTATTAATTCCTTATAAACAGTTAGTCCCTTTGATTAGTCTGCATGACCTTAATAGAAAGCAAAAATACACTTTGAACAATATGATTATACATCTACTTATCAAGTATACAAATAAACGGATAGGTCAATCAAAGCAAACAAAATAATAGAGGTTTAAAAGAGTAAGGTTTTGTAAATAAATTTGAAGTGTAATTTTATTGGTTAGCTACTACTTTGATGTGTTTTCATATCACACGTTTACTTTATGCTAACGATGCGTTTTGTTATGTACCAAGCTGATATAGTCTAGTTGTTATTAGATGGTTGAAGTCTAATGCTTGCAAGTTTGTGTGTGTGTGGTGAAATTGTTCGAAATGGAAAGCACAATTAGATCCCAATGATTTCAGATCAACTTTGTAAACTTTATATAATATATTTATACGAGTTTGACCATGGATTGATTGTAACCGGAAGGTCCTGGGGTTCAAAACCCCTGCGTACTGCCGATAATTCCCAAAATATGATGAAATAGGTATCCAGTACTCCCTGTGGCTGGTTTTCAATTCTTCTCTAACTGATATCAATCCGTGGTCAAACTTGTATAAAAACATTTAATCCTAACAAACCAAACTCTTGAATATATAATGTATGACTATTCCATGGATTGTATTTACACGATGTTCAACGCTAAGAAATGATATTCACTGTCTTAATGTAGTTGTGTTTAGTTGAAGGCTTTCAATAGATCAAGTTACAGATCGACGTGGTTTCAGTGTCCCATTTCCGTTGGAAATCATCCCCAAATGAGAAATGCTTTAAATGATAAAAATTCTATTCATCTCAATCAATCAGTCGCATAAAGTTTTATCCAAGTGTGTTTGCTTTCTTGGTTATCTATCATTTATGGTATCAAGGAGATTGTATGCTGTTTTGTTTATTCCTTTACGTTCCCAGTGGAATATAGGGGGGCTTTAAGCTACAGACTTAAAGTTTCTGTAGCAGTGGTGTTTATTTTTACAGAATGGGGTTGCTAACCAGCCTCATGCCCAAACTTCCCTCTTTACTAGTCCTATTACTGGCTTAGCGAGGTAAAGGAGTGAGTCTGTGACCGGGGATCGAACCCCGGACCACATGCATGGCTGGCGAACATTCTACCACTGTGCCACCGACAATTTCGTCTATGCAAGAAACTGTGGTGAGATTTCGAACCGCGTAAATTGCAAATGGTGAATTAATGAGTAAATTGTGAATTTAATTTATGATTTTACCAGATATCTCAGGTAGCTAGTCAAAAATCGAGTGCTTTGAACTGATTCGGCTGTCTGAATTGATGAGCTTGGCTTCAAAGGTCAAAAACGTCTCTCCGTTATTTGGATCACTTCGATCTGCCCAGCAAGTACTACTGGTTGATATGGGTCGCATGTAACTACTAATCTCAGTCAATCAGTAGTATACATTTTAGGTGAATATACTTTATCAGTTTTGTTAACTACTTCTGGTTAGACTAAATATAAGTGCGTATTTTAGTAGTGGAGTCTCTAGGACTCATGTTTCAATCCTATTCGGGACTCGTTAGCCTAGAAGTACTACTATGGTGTTCCCACTGACACTGAAATGTAGGAACTATCTTTTCAAATACCAAAGCGTCATCGTTTTGGATCACTTGGTCATCAAAGCGAAATAACATTAAGTCAGCCTTCAGATATCTTCAAATTATTATTATTATTTGTACTTATTAGAGCTGACATGATAACAGAAGAGATAAATATAAACAAATTGAATTTAGTACTAAAGTGATACCTCAACTTTGTATACTAAGTATAGAAATAGAGTAAAACGAAAGCGGTGAATTAGAATATCAGGCTGCACTTCAATACACACACACACACACACATTTCATCTTATTATCATCATCACACGATAATGACTCATATGTAGGAGATACCAGAATCAAAGTCCTAACAGTATAAAATACTATATGTTGCTAAGTTTTGATTCAAAATAACATTGGATTATGTGAGTAAACTAGTATATATTGATGTGCCCACTTATTCTAACGTTGTTGTTGTATGGCCTGGCAACTTTAACTTTTACCTTCATTTGTATTAAACGTAAGGTTATATTTGAAACTGAAGCATATCAGAAGTCAGAATCAAGTGAGAATGTTAAAGGATGGTACATATGTTTGCACAACACGATATTAATCAAATATGTAAGAATAAATATATCAAAGTTCCAGTTCACTTATAATCCTTTACGCGTTTGAGGGGATTAACAACATATATATGTATGTATGTATGTATATATGCATACCATATGAGTGATTTATCCACTTCATATCTCATTTATATTGTGAGACTTTGGCTACAAGTATTCTGACTGAAGAATCTCTGACTGTGAGACAACGGAAAGCTAAAAATGGAGATTGGATACTATGGTGTAGTAGACTAAATGGCTAAGTTTGTTTATATGCTAAGTAAAGAAGGACAAAACGAATACAATCATGTATGTATGTAGAAGGATATTCTGTGCACATAAAGTGAAGTTATTTGAAAAGTTATAATTATCCCAGAATACTCAAATATAGACGTACAGAAGAATAGTGAGAATGAAATAGTCCTCATCTTGGTTATAATGGGATGCTCACTACACGTAAGAGATGCCAATCGCCGGAGGACACTTGTAGAGAGAAAAGTGGATTGGAGCAAAGGATCCCGATGTGGTACATGTATCGACTAGGTACGATACAGAGTTGGTTGGCAGATGTGGAAAGCGAGAGGCTGGAGATATTTTTCGGCCACCACAATATGGTAAAATCTAGTCAGAATACACGGTAACCTATTATTATTATTATTGTTCCCTTGGGTTCCTAGTGGAACATACGGCTTAAACTGCACGTCTCCACTTGCTTCTGTCTTCCTTCTGTTGTACTCTACACCTGCATCCATGTTAGTCCATACTCTTTCAACTCCTCTTCAAACGATCTCCTCCAAGTCACCCTTGCACTGATGACCAACTCGCCGCTCCCATTTCGGCTTGGTTCCACTCGAGCGATGGCCTGACGCGCGCGCGATGTCACCCAGTGGCCTTCTCAGCGAGTGTCCAATCCATCTCAATCCACTTTCTCCTGCATATTTGTTGGTTAGCGATTAGTCCTTCTTTTGTTTTTTTCCATAGTTTCTTGTTGGTGATTCTTTCCGACCCGGCCATCTGATCTTCAGTATAGAGCGAAGACAGTTAGTTGTTGATAAAGGTCTGCAATAGCCAGCCTGCTGGAAATATTCTTTGTGACCAACCCGCCAAGTTTCTGATTCGATCCGTATAGAAGAACTGACTTGACGTTGTTTGTATTGAAAATGCCACCGAAGTTTGTTGTTGATGCTGGCTGAGTGACGAAGATTTCCAAGTTGGTTTCAGGTTGATGAATAATGGGTTTCTCGCCTTCCCGATTCTCGCTCGACTTGACATCATCGTCCGTTCCGACTTCCTGTAGTTGAGACAATGCTCCCAAGATAAGTGAATGAATATAGGAATACCGATCTGAAAACTCCAGATGATCTTGATTTGACGCATGGATGATTTATGCTTAATGTCATACAGACTAGAAGACTTGCAGGTAAAAACCGAAAAAAAACTGGATGAAGAAGCACCCAGAGAAGACAGCACTTCAGGTGAAATTACAGAAAACGCACATGATAAAGATAACCAACCAGCATCAATCACCATCAAAAGGAGAAATTTGAAAGAGGTCACTTCCTTCCCCTATCTAGGCAGCATCGTTTCAACTACAAGCGTCATGGATGAATATGTTAAAACCAGCTAGAATTGGATAGACAAGATACACCTTCATCAATCTGAAATCTGTTTGGAAATCTCCTGCACTCCACCTCAGCATAAAGAAGAAAATTTGGATTTTCAGCACCAATGTTAAGATAGGCAATCCTTTTATACGGGTGAGAAGCTTAGGACTCGTGTCTCGTAAAGCGCTTCCACTAGGCGCTACTGTTAGTCCTTTATCAACAAGTGCCCCCTTCGCTAGCTCAATAGTGAAGATCGAATGGTCTGAAAGAATTAGTAAGAAGAAACTTTGGCTGGGAACAAACCAACCAACCAAGAGCTGATTGCTCAGAAAATATACAGAGGTCACCGTCGAATGACACTGTACTGAACTCAGACCATCGCTCTAGTGGTACCCGAATGAGGAACGACAAGTTGGGCGTGCGTCCAAGATCGTGTGGCCCGCTAGAAAGGACCACATGGAATAAGACAACAGTGAAGAGATACTGTTGAAGCTGTATGTTCCACTCAGAACCTAAAGCAAGTTTAAAAATTTAATTCATGGTATCACTTTTTTAAAATAATAAAAAAGTAACACGACACAAATTAGTGCACTTGGTGAATGATACGTAGGAAAAAAGAAGATATAAATAAACACACTTAACTGTGCACTTTACTTAAGTACACGACATGCACTTTGACTGACCGATACATTTCGAAGCTGTAAGGCACGAGAGTATAAAATTCAAATTTTTCTAAAAACAGTGAGTTGATTTTGTTCGTGTAAATCTTTATTGGATGTGAAACAAGTAGAAATATTTGAAACTTTGGCAGAAGTGGAGACAATGCTCCCTGGCTAGATAAGTGAATGAATGAAGTAACCTGTTTCAAATCCCTCCCGTTGATGGTGACTGGCGCTGGATGCTGCTGCTTCTGTTGTTGGTTGGTTATTTTCATAACCTCCGTCTTGTCTTTGTTCACTTGGAGTCCTGTCTTCACCGGCTGCTTCTTCAACCAGTTTGTCGGTTTTCGCTTGTAAGTCTTCGATTTTGTGTGACATCAAACATAAATCATCGCCGCGGGAAATCCAGGTCTTCTAGGTTCTTCACGTTGGTCCAGGATATCCCTGTCTTCTAGTTTCCCACTGTCTGACGTATAATCCAGTCCACCACAATCCGACCACAGAAATATATAGACTATCATCATTTTATAAATTACAATTATACATTTTACATATAAATGTAAAATATTTCGGATTATTTACATGACTAATTCATGGTATTTCTTTTTAAAAATTTTTCTAATTTAGACCATCGTCCATTTAACTGCAATCTGTGTGATAAAGCCTTTACAACTAATGGCAATTTAAGTCGACATATACGTACATCTCATCAAGTGAAAACAACAGTCACAAACTCTTTTACACCAATAAGTACTGTTACTCCATCAACAGCATCAACATCATCATCATCATTAGCTCCACAATTAGTACCACATCACACATCAAATCATCAACACCACCAACAACAGCCAATACTGTTACCTAATTGGTTTCAATCTTCTACTGGTCAACTACAGTCACCTTCATCATCTTCAACAAATATTTATCCTAAGCTCAGTTCAGTATATCATAGTGGAGGAGTTAACGATGAATACCGTCATCATCAAAACACCTCATCGTCATCGTCCTCCTCAACATCAATAAAACAATTAGATTTGAATACTTCTCGAATAAATACTTCACAGCAGTTGACTACAATTCAATCAAATTATAATGAAATGCTAAAAATAAGGCATGATTATCCTACACCTTGGATGAATTTATCTTCTTCTACTTCAACTGTTAATTCAAATGATAAACAACACATTGATGTTATTGGCATAAAATCGTGTATGAATAATAGCCTGTCGAATATTATACCAACTTTTATCATAAATGATGAACCAATTAAATTAGAACAAACAAAATCACCTTTATCAGGATATGATTTACATGAACAGAATAGACGAGACAATCACTCTGAGGCGATGAGATCATCATCAACTTCTTTGTATACAGAAAATAAGAATTTCGCCAACTGGTCAACAGATTATACAAAACACCAAGAACAACATTATATTGATAATGATAATTTGAATAATAAAATATTCGAATCTTCTAGCTGGTCATCATATAATAAAGGCAATAATACTACATCTGAATTTCTTCAATTCTTTTCAAATTATTGGTTAAATTTAAGTAAAAGTGGTGTATTGAACAATTCAACTTATTATACTACAAGTGTAGATCCACGAACAATTATTGCTAGTCTATTACCTTCTTCATATTTACCTGTAAATAATAATGCAATGAATAATGATTTCACTTCTGTCACAATGATGTCATCACTTTCAACATCAACATCATCATCGTCAGCGGCGGCAGCAACAGCAGGAGCAAATGGTCCAGTTGATACAATTGGAAATTTTTCAAAGTATACTTCAGAATCACCTAGAATTACTATTTGTGAAATTCCATCATCAACAGGTATCAATGAGATGGACAATCAAGTCAACAGAAGATTTGATAGAGGAAGTCTTTATACTGCCAGTTCTGGAGAATATGGTGTTGTTTCTTCATCACCTAATCCAAATGTACAGAATAATAATAATAACAACAACTTACAAGTTATACGACCTAAATTCTTCACTGGGACGAATAAACATGAACGGCAAAAATCACGCATAAAGAAAGTGAGAACTATGGTATGTTTCTATACTTTTAAACTATGCAAAGTTTCTAATGTTTATCAATAAAGATAATAGGAAGTGACATTTAGATTATTTCTAAGCACAATGGTGACGAATGTAACCTGATGAATAGGCACTCAAATAGCTTCCATGTCTATAGACTTTTGGAAGATGACAAATGTGTTTTTTCAGGATTTCATTGTGAGCTGAAATTGGCTAGAGAACCAGTGGAAAACCTGCGCGGAGTACTAGACAGCCATCTGTTCCTAATTTGGGACATTTCAGAAGTACGCTCCAACTGTCAGGGTTCGAGCCCAGGACCTTCCGGTTAAAAAGCGAGCCAGTGGGACCCAACTCAATGGCCAGACTATGAGTTTCAACTTCTGCCTAATTCATGGTAAAGAGCAACTGGCGCCTCACACCCGACTTGCTGTACCCCAATGCAGGTGACGACTTCTCACTAGAACTCCAGGTAACTACCTACCTGAATATGACCAGTGGCTAGTAGGCATCAGATTGATATTCAAGTGTTGATTAGCAGAGATTTGATTTGAATGGTGTATGCGTACTGTTGAAGAGTGCCAAGCTAGGAGGAAACAGCTGTCCAACACTCCTTCTACGTTTTCCAATTTATACTTCTATGTATCATAGACGGGACTTCAAATGAGCATAAAAAAGATGGAGGTGATGAAGATACCCAGGTACCAAAAAGAACATCCAGCACCAATCACGATCGAAGGAAAAAAGAAAATTTGAAAGATGTTACTTTTTTCGCTTATCTAGGAAGCATCGTCTCAACTACAGATGATAGCACAGATGAGGATGTCAAAGCTGACCACAATCAGAAAGGCAAGACAGACCTTCATCAACCTGAAATCAATTTCGAAATCGTCTACACTCCACCTCAGCATAAAGAAGAAGATTCGGATTTTCAATACAAATGTAAAATGTATGAGTTAGAAACTTGACTAGCACATGACGAAAAGCATTTCTAACAGGCTACAGGATACTTTTGGCAACAGCTGCCTTCTTTGGCTGCATATTGAAGATTAAATGGCCGGTTGAAAAGAATTATCAACAAGAAACTCTGGCTGGAAACAAACCGACCAAGAGACGATCGCTCAACAAATATGCAGAAGAAAATGAAGATGGATTGGGCATACTCTGAGGAAACCGTCGGTTGACATCGCGCTGAATGCAGGCCATTGCTCGAGTGGAATACCTATGGGAAATGACCAGTGGGTTGCCCTAGGGTAACATGGAGAAGATGAGAGACTATGGATAAGCGTGGGGCCGGCTTAAGGGGACAGCAGAAAACAAGAGAAGATAGAGACGTGCTGTTGAAGCCCTACAATGTATCAACTGCATATTAACATATTTTGGTTGACGTTGATTACCAGTGGTATTCAGGATGTGCATTTCGTCCTATATGAGAGGCTTATCATCTGGATAAATGAACATTCCAAGCGACTGGTGATCACACTACGACTCACTCACTCACTCACCACCAGTCTCTGGGAATGCAAGTGTACGCAATGATCAGTCCTGGAATCCTAGATTCTATTCCTAGTCATGATCAACAAAAATAACACCATGTTAATCTCTAGACATCGTTGAAATGTTCGTACTAGAAGCCGATATCTTCACAGAGACTGAGAATTTTGCTCAAATGTAATCAATCAGCAAGAAATACAAATTAATGTAAAACCAAATAGTATAGATTAATATAGTGGTGCAATGGTAGAATACTTGCCAACCACTCACATGGTCGGAGGTTCGATCCGCAACCGCCACACCCATAAATCTTATTAAGCCGGTTGTAAGCTCATTAAAGATGGAGGGATCAGCATAAAGCTAACAGTCTAACCCGCATTGGAACTTCGTAGCTGATGTTTAAAGACCGATGTCCCACTGGGAACTTACAGGATTATATAATAATAATAATACAGTCAACAGATACGCTTTATTAAAAATTAATCGAAGTATAAATTAGAAGTATTTCAATCAATTTTAATGCTCTCCAACCTGATGTTAGCTAAACCTCTTTCTATATGGTAATCCATAAGTGATACGAACTATCTGAGATGACCAAGACTACCAAGACATAGAAAACCTTACTATTAATTAACAATCCACTTCTCTCCTAAGACTGACAGGAGACAACCTAGTCTGGCAGTTGATGTGATAATAAACAGACTTTAAAACACCATTCATTCACATGATAGCTGAGTATGATTGTAATAAAATGGTGGCCTGATTAACATTTTGTTCTCTTAGCTCAGTTGGAGTACAGTGCTGCAGGCCTCTGGGTTGAATTCTTTCATGGTGTAGATTTTCACTTCATCTCCAGTTATCTTTGATTGAAGAAATTTTCATCCGTTAACATTTCATATGAGAGAAAAGCCGGCACTGTTCATTTCATCACCCTCAGAGACCTTTATGTCTGATCATGGAGAGTGACATGATTAACAAACTTCTAGAATAGAGTTCAATACGCATGAAATATGTCTTCAATTCTAATGAAGATTATTCTGCACTTTGATTTAACCTGGATTACTTCTTATTTGTTGAATTTTATACAGAAAACTTTTTCAGTACGTTATATCTTGGCTAAAAGAAGAAAAAGTCTGACGATGATTGGAAAGAAGAGACTGTCAAGAAAAGTAGCAGATATTAAATTCAGATCGTTAAGTAAGTTACCATATTTTTTATTGTAACGGTTAATGTGTAGAAGTTGTTGAAAGTTATGCATAATAATTTATGTTTTCAACACAACATGGTTAAGTGTTTGAAAGTTAAGACGACGATGGATTAACTGAATGGATGTTTTCTTTTGATTTTAAGAATATTTAAAAACTGTTTTTTTTCTAGTCAATGATGAATTGTTCAGTGATTTGAGTTTTTCCATCCAGGACATTATAGTGTTATGTAATGATAAGCAATTTACTGGCTAGTGTAAACAATCCTATAATACAGTTCATTGAATTTTGTGACAGGCAACTTCAACACAGAAAAAACTTCATTTTCTATTTGTTTATGTTGTTTCTCTGAATAATCAGTTATCACAAGATTTCATCATGAGCTGAAATCAGTTAGAGAACCATTGGAAAACCTGGGAGCACTAGACAGCTGTTCCGTCACCCTAGTTTGGGACTCTTCATCAGCACGCACCCACCGCCAGGATTCGAACCCAGGACCTTGTGATTACAAGGCAAGCCAGCTCGTATATCATTAAGCCATTGGGACCCGATTTAATGGCCCATGAATCCTAACTTCTGCCAATTCACGACATAGCGCGACTCCTAGCCAATGTCTTTATCCTCACACCCGACCTGCTGCACCCTACGGCTTGTCACTAGAACCCCAGGTAACTACCTACCTGAATAGGGCAAGTCGCTAGTGTGCATCTCATTGGTATTCAAGTGTTGGTTTGTAGGGATTTGATTGGTTACAGCTCATGATCAAATTCTATAACCAGTCAAATCCCTACAAACCAACACTTGAATAATCAATCATTAGTTTGCACTACTTATTTAAAATCCATTAAATATTGCCAAGTGTTGGCTTATAGAGATTCGATTGATTTCAAGGTTGTTCATGAAATGATTTTAGTTAGCGAACCAGTGAAAACCAGCCACAGGGAGTACCAGACAGCTGTTTTGTGCTTATTTGTGACTTATCATCAGTACGAACCAGAAAAATTCACACGGGATAGGAACCAAGACCTTTAGGTTACACGAAGACCTCACTGATTATTCAGCCACCGGTTTGGATGGAATCCAGTAGTTCGTCAATTCTAACTTCTATCATTTCGTGCTATACACCACAGCCTCCAACTAATGTCACATCCAACTCTGTGAACTTCGCTGGTCATGACATCCTACTAGGACATTAGACACCTTCATTCTACAGTCAGTTAGTCAGTCACCAGTAAGCACTGGGTTAATTCTCTAGTGTTAATTTAAAGACTGGTCAAGGAAAACACTTCAGTTAAAGAACTAGAGAGGAGTAGTGAACAGCTGTTTCGATCTTGCTTTGGACTCATCATCAGTACACATCCCATGATCCCACTATGGATCTCCAACAAAGAATTAGGAGTCATGATTATAACTGCACTGCCTACTATCTCCAATCAACAGGAATATTCTGAAAGTCAATAAAACTTCATTTGATATTGAGGCATTTTTGTGCATGATTTTATCATTGGTGTGGTGTACTCATGAATAATATGACTAATGACAAATAAGAATGATTTACTGGACATTAGTCAACTAACAACTGTTTACCTTAATTATTATTGCTCAGTACAGACTTGTTGTCACCAGACAGACTTGAATCCTTAAAACAGTCAATTCAATTAATTACAAAAAGAAACAATTGAAATTTTCCAAAAAAAACTAGAAAGAAACAAAATTTTACAAGTCATCTAAATCCTTAAACAAAAGAAAAAAAATCCATTTTGATTTTTACTCGTGGTCAGCTAGATAGATCCGTTACAAACAATGCATGCATGAATGGAGACATGTTTTGAATGTCTCCGTTAGATCAAGGATCATTTGAGATCTCCTCAATCCTTTTTTTTTGTGTGTGTGAAAAAATAATAATATGCAAATACATATAATTCCCACAAAATACAAAACAAGAAAACTGGCAAAACATGTTTACCAACGATTAAACTCAAACAAAAAGTGGACGCGTTATGCTTCCTTTTAGTTGGTATAAAAGTTTGTTTAAGGAGAAGGGGGGGGGCGGGAGGTCTCAAGGAATTCCGTCTTGTATTTCTTCAATATCAATTTAACTACGAAAATAAAAATTAATTTTTGAAAACACAACACAGTTAAAAAGTGATCATAGATCTAATGTTGTTGTACAGATCCAAATTACGCCTAGAAATTTCTCCTCTTGTACACTCATGATCAGCTGTTAATAATATACAAGATGGGGTATTTCGTTTTGGTTGTTGTTGTTGTTGTTGAATGCTTAGTTTTGAGTGTGGAAACACACACACACACACACAAGGAAAAAACAAAACAGGTCAGTATAACTGTCAAAAGAAAATGTCAAATTTGATCTGAACAAAAAATACATGAAAAAAAACAAACACCCCAACTGTTTTTGTGGTTGGGTCAATTGAAGTGAAGTGAAGTGAACAACAGTCTAACAGTGAAATTACTTACAGCCAATGTATTTGAAGAGTAGTCATAAGTAGAAGTTTTTAATGGCTACTATATTTTATAAATTAGACTACTCAAACACAACTTGTTTCATTGTTTCATTTTGAAGAAAGTTGATTTAATTGAAAAGTGATTAAGGCAGAAAGTGCTAGAATTGGAGCCATTTTCAATATGGGTTCAATTCAATTTAATAAAGTATGCAAGAAAGTAACTGGTTTCACTGTCTGCTATCCTACCCCATATTCAAAATTTGCGGGTAATTTTAAAGAAATGGAAAAAATAGAGATGGAGTAGACACACCCTGAAGTGATCGTTGATTCACATCACTCGCCATGCTCTCTCAAGTGAAACTCGAATGGGGGAACAATGAGTTGATCATTGGAGGGTGACGTGGAGGAAGTCGTGTGTGAAGAGGAGATGAGAGCTCTAGCTAAGGACGACTGAAGAGAATAGAATGAAATAGAAATGTATTACTGAAGCCATATGTATTCCAAATGGAACTTAAGGGAATAGTAATCATATATATGCCCTAAAACCCCTAAATTACCTTGAATACTCAAAATTTACTAACTAAAAAGCTCAAATTTATTCCAAATGTCCGAAGAAATTCACCAAAATCTCCATATTACTTTCAAATTTCCTAAAATTCCCTGCTTGGATTCTGTTGAAGTGTTGTGAAATTCCCGGTTAGAGTTAGAAAGGCTAAACTTAATAAACCCTAAAAAAAGGCTAAACTTAATAAACTTAAATCTGATTTTAACTGATTGTCATTTGACTTGTTATAAGGAGCCAGTATCCAGACACGGTGGACCTTTTTATCCTGATTGACACTCGACTTTTTGACTGTTTGAACTATCCTCTCTTATAGCATAGGGCTCAACACTGAGAGGAATTTTTTAAACTAAACATTGAATCAAGTCATTAAATTGGTGTAGGTCACTACATTTTAAAAGTCTGAATCAAAATATCTAATTCTAACTGCTTATAAGTAAGTTTGTTAAAATTTTTAAGTATCTTGGATTCTCAGGTATTGGTTTTATAGGGATTTCGTCTGATTAGTTGGAGGGTTTCATCATGCGCTGAAATCAGTTAGAGAACTATTGAAAAAACCTGCAAGGAGTATTGGACAACTGTTTCGTCAGCCTAGTTTGAAACTTTTCAACAGTATTCACCCACTGGGTCTATGAGCTAGCTCACCTTGTAAACAGAAGGTTCTAGGTTCGAACCCTGGTGGTCTGTGCATACCTCTGAAGAGTCATAAACTAGGCTGCCCAAACAGCTGTCCAGTACTTCTTGTAGGTTTTCCAATAGTTCTCTAATACGATGTCAGCTCATGATGAAATCTTCCAACCTATCTAAGATTTATTTGTATGAATTTAATGAACAATTTTGGAAACTTTTTAAATATATTTCATCTTAATTTTTATTTGGTAAACAAACTTAAAGGAAATTGTTTCCAGCTGATAAAAATGCTTTGATGTATAATAATTTCCCTTGTCTTTATCGTTTTCTTCTTCTTCACCTCCTCCTCCTCCTCCTCCTCATAGGTTCATTAAGTTCCAGCTCTAAACAAAGGAGAGAATGTGATATGCAACAATTCCAGACAGTAGATGCAGAGTATTCTTCAAACAGGTAAGCTCACTTTTTATTATTTATATTTTTTCCTTTCTTTTTTTTTAGTTTAAGAAATCCCCTGAATTTTACTAGAGATGTTTAAGAGTGATAGTTGTATATCGGATGTAATACACACTGTATTATTTATTCGGTCACAGGCTGAAAATAACACTATTCCTGCTTTTCTTATGTGTTATCTGAGATAAATTATTTAATTCTCTTACATTTTTTTACGAGTTGATCACGGATTGATATCAGTTAGAGAAGCATTGAAAACCAGCCACCGGGAGTAACTGGACAGCTACTGTTTCATCCCACTAGTTTGAGAATCATTGGAAGTACGCATCCACTGGGATTCGAACCCATGACCTTCTGGTTACAAGGCAAGCTTGTATACCATTCACACACTAGGACCCGATTCAATGGTTCATGAATTTTAACTTCTACTAGTTCGTGACCAGTGAGGTCCAATTAGATGTCACGTTTGTCGATGGATGTCCCACCAACGACAATGGTTGGGGTCGCGCTAAATCAAAAATTGATAGAAGTCAGAATTCATGAACCATTGAATCGGGTCCTAGTGTCTGTATGGTATACGAGCCAGCTTGTCTTATAACCGGAAGGTCCTGGGTTCTAATCCCAGTGGATGCGTACTGCCGATGATTCCCAAACTAGGATGAAACAGCAGCTGTCCAGTACTCCCTGGTTTTCAATGGTTCTCTAACTGATATCAATCAGTGATCAACTCGTAGAAAACATAACTAAACCTTATAAACCAAACTATAGACAATTAATTCTGTTACTTTTATTATTATTCTAGACAACATCTTCAGCGTTTACTGTGCAGAGAAGTGAGCTTTAGCAATTCTTCATAAATGTAAAATAGCTATATGGTCGACTTTCTTCTTCAATTTCTCTAGTTTAAGATTTAATTATTATTTTGAAAAAGTTTAAGTTTGGGTTAGAAGTGAGCCAGAGTTGACATTTAAAGGATAGCTCTCCTTTATCTGACTTTAAATTCTGCATTTTAGGAGTGATTAACATTAGAGTATATACTTTTGATTACTACAGGTAGTTTGCTTTTTAGGCAAATCAAGGTGACTTGAACACCAGATGCAGTGTATGCACATGAGGGTTATACTCTGCGCAGAAAGCTGAATTAGTTTAAATTCTTGCCGTAGTTATAACATTTTGCTTGTGTTCTGTTGACTGTAAGTTATAATATACTTTACTTTACTTCGGCTATCTCCTACGGGAGGATGAGCCGGCTTCATGAACGTCTCGAATCATCGCTGCCCAGGCGCGGCAATTTGTAAGAGAGTTCATGAAGTTTCATGGGAATTTGGTACGAGTGATGTCCCCAGAATCGCTCGGCCTTTTGTTTGAGAGTGCAGCTCTAGCCTTTACACAACCAAGTGTGACCTACAAGGCAGTAGGAGTGGAGTAGGGAGTCCACTATCCATTGGCAGCCGATGACCGGAGTTCGGTTCATACGCCTTTTTGAATGGGGCCAGACATCCAACAAGCCCTTTGTCCATACGTCTGCCGGTGAGCACCAGTGAGCTTCATACGCCAATCGTTGGAGGTTTGGAATCAGGGTTTAGCCATCTCCCCTAGACTGTCATCCAATGGACAGTCAACCCAGTGGAGAGCGCCAGGCATCCGCTTTCGCCCTCTCACTTTGGTGAGAAACACCTCCGCCACGTGAAGGCAGTGAGTAGGACTTCCTCAGGAGAGGCTATGTAAGACGCCCGGTCATATGGGAGCATTTCAAGAGGTGTGCGGACGGGTGGCCAACCCGCAGCGCAAGGCACCCACCCCCGACCATCCTGAGGCTTTGGAGGCTAAGTTATAATATCCTACTGGATCACGAATATTTCTGTCTCCAAAGGAAACTTTGGCTTATTCTCACCTTGAATTGTGTAGTTTATAAATGACGTATTTGATGACTCTATGAATTTTCACTGAAAAACTATGTCTTGTTTCTCATTTCTGATTACCATCAGACTAGTCCGTTCTAAGTACAGTCAATTCACTGCACCTTTTTACTTTATCATTCCTTTTTAGATCACACAGTTCATACAGTCCAGAACACTGTAATTCAACAAGAAATAATGCAAACAACCTATCAACTGATTATACATGTTCGCTAAGCAATTTCTTTAGCACCTCGGATAGACCGTCACCATCAACAATTCTATATACCTATAATGATAAGATGAGTAACGATAATGAAAATAATAATAATGACAATACCATGCTGAATACTACAGAACAAAATTATCTTCAACCAATGGAGTCCTATCCAGAAATACTTGATCTTTCATTACGTAACAAAAATCTACAAACATATGATGAAAGCCAGAAGAATACAAATGACATTCAACAATTTAACAGGCTGTATGCAAATCCAGGAAACTATTCTGACATGCTGAATTCAAAACCTAAAACTTTCAATCCGATGAATGCATCTACTGTTCTCTATCCTTCATATGCTATTAATACTACTAATACTGGTATGTCTAACCAGCCAACAGTTGACACAAAATCATTTGGTCATGAGATAAATTTAAACAATATTCTTCATGATATTTGTAGTCTATCTGTTATGCAACAAAATAAAACTTCAGCTTATACTGATAATTTAGCAAATACTACCAATACTACTAATAATCAATCAAGTAGACTGTCAATGAATTTACAAAATAGTAGTAATAACATGTCAAATGCACATAAAATACTTTCTCTTCGAACAAATATTCCACCAGTGCTTATACAACCAAAAAAGAATTCATATAAAGATGCACCAAAACTGATCACTTGTCCTATATCTGGCTGCAGTCAAAAATTCCCGTGGAATAGTTCTTTAAAACGACACATTCTTACACATACTCGTAAGTCATAATAATAATGACTATTCATTATTTTTTAAAATTTTAATATCAAAATTGGATCACTGACTGACTTCCATTCAGAGGATCATTAAAATCTAAGGAGTATTAGACAGCTATGTTCGCTCTTGTTTAAGACTCGTCTATTCCTGATGGTATCATCAGTACATACTAATTAAGAGTGGTAAACAAGGATGAAACGGACGTTCTCAGTACTCCTCTTTGGTTTTTAGCAGTCCTTTATAACTGAATTCACTTTTTGATCGAACCTGAAGTTGATCAGATCTCTGCAAATCAATGCTTGAAAATTAATGTTAATAATGATGGTCGGAGATATAATGTGATGACTGGTTTCCAGTAATATTTTGTGAACTATGTAATTTTCAGTTGGACCAATCAAAATTAAAGAAAGATGGTTAGATTATTTCAACATTGGCTAATGTTTTCCGATGGTTTATAGTAATGACTCCATACCGCATAGTGTGCATTGAGTTGAGCAATTTTAAGGATACCAGTTGGATAGTCATAAAAGTTCTATTTGTATTGCTTCATGAATATGAAGGTACTATAAGGTGGCATAATTTTTTATAACATGTAGATTCATATTGTATTGTATTGTAGTCACAGCCATCTTCAGAGGTCAAGGTATTTGTCAAAACTATTAAACTAGACATAACTAAGACATACAGCTTTTCACTGAGTTGATTTTCCTAACGACCCATCTCTTTGTAAATGAGAGGAGAGAATATTTTAGATATACTTGTAGTCGAACATCGCCATGACATGGAGGGATTAAAGACAGGTTGCGAGATGTCGCATAACTTTGAAGTACAATTCAGTGGATGCTATAAAATTTAAAAACAAGGATCAGACATCGTCTAGACAGTCAATGAAAATTAGGAAACAAAGGACGGCGTTTTTGTCATGATTGATGACTTAGAAACATACCCTAAGGACTGGAAACCAGAACTTTCAGGTTATAAAGCCAGCAATAATAATAATAATAAGACATCCTGCATAACATGTTAGCATGTTTCATCATGGTTTGTAACTCATCAGTAGTACGTTATGTACTGATATCAATCCGTGGTCTAACCTGAAACAAATAGAGTCCCTACAAACGAATTCTTGAAAAATTAATCTGATGCTCAATAGTGATTCGCTTCAAGAAGAAGCTGTCTTCAGTGCGTTCTAACCAGAAGTCGTGACCAGTGGAGCCATCCACCGATCACATTGGTTGGTTCCAGTCACACTAAATCACGAATTGGTAGAAGTTGGAATTCATGGAGTGGCCATTGAATCCGATGGATCTCAGTGTCTAAATGGTATTCGAGCTTGCCTTGTAACTAGAATGTCGTGGGTTGGAACTCTGGTGGTGGTTGTGTACTTCCGATAATTCCCAAACTAGTGGGATGAAACAGCAGCTGTCCAGTATTCCATGTGGTTGGTTTTCAATGGTTCTCTAACTGATATCAATCCGTAGCCAAACTACAAAACTGAATGGTTGTTTTCTTGTTGTATATCAACTTTTTTTTTGTTTCTCATTCTCGTTATTGATAATACTATCAAAATTTAAAATTTTCAAAATTTTACTTTAACTTTATATTTTAGCTCATAAACCATTTGCTTGTACAAGATGTACCAAATCCTTTTCAACTAAATCAAATCGTGAACGTCATATGGAACGTGTACATCGAGTTAGCTTAAAACGTCAACGTCAACGTTTCAATCAAACCAGTAGTATGAGTATTCAAAGTCCATCAAGTGGAGATAATCGTTCTGAATTGAGTGGTCATTATTCGAATAAGAATTCTGTTGGTCGAGCAACAACCGCAACAACGACAACAACAACAACAGCAACACTAGGCGATAATAATAATAATGATCAAGAAATTGATGGTATTGAAGAGTTGAGAGAAGATGAAATATTATCAATGAATTCAAATGAAAAACAAGCTGAAGATATTAGTAATAGTTTATTAATACGAGCCGGTGATCCAGTAGTAGAACCAAATCCAGAAAGATTGTATAATGCGGCGTTATTAGCAGTAGCGAATTCTACACGAGGTGGATTCACTAACTTTTTAAATCATGTCTCTTCCCCTAGTATTATAAATAATAGTAATAATATTCCACAGAATGTTTTACCAAATATTTCTATTCGGCAAAGACAATCAGTCCGTGGTGGAGGAGGAGCAGGAGGACGACGACGACCTAGACGTAGTAATTTATTAAGCATGAAAAATATCCCACAAATCCCATTGATTAATATGATAACTGAATCAACTAGTGAGAATAAATCAACGCCTGAAGATCCACCAATAGATTTATCTTTAAATTCAACAATGAAAAATACATCTACAACACTTACATGTCCAATATGTTCACTATCGATTGGTAGTCGATGTTTTCGTCGGCATTTAACACTTCATCAAGTCGATAATCCAGTTTTTCGTTGTCATTTATGTCAGCTAACTTTTCAAGATCAAATATCAACATTAACTCATTGGGCTATGGAGCATTCAAATGAATGGTCAAAATTTGTTAAAAAGTTAAATACAAATGATACATCAACTGATATTCTTAAACAAATTCAATTAAGTTTAAAAAATAATGTTAATACTACTGATACTACTACTACTCACAACTATAATAGTAGTAGTAGTAGTAACAACCAATTAAAAGTTACATGTGATATCAAAGAAACAACTAGTAATACTATCAATATATCAGAATTAAAAGAACCAATTAATTATTCGGCTAAATTAAACAATTACAACCACAATAATGATTCACGTTATGTCTCCTGTTGTGTTTGTCTTCATCGTTTTGGTAGTCAACAAGATTTACAAAGACATATGAGATCGCATACTGGTGAAAGACCTTTTACTTGTCCATATTGTGGTAAAGAATTTTCATTAAAGCATAGTATGCATAGACATGCTAGAGTTCATATGAAACAAACTATTAAAATAAACACACTAAATGAAGCATCATCTTAAGTACACTCATATACTCATATCTATTATATATATAATAATGAAAAGACAAAAGAATATACGAATTAAACGCTTGTCTTTTATGTTTTTTGACTAGTCATCATAGGGATTTCTTTATATAAAGCGCCAAATTTTCAAATAATCCTTCATTGTTTCAATAATAATTGAACACAGTCTCTCTTTTATTTTATTTGTATTTTTCTTTTTGTAAATTCATTCAGTGTTATTCCTAATTTTACGTACTATTTCTTTACAATAATTCTGAAATAGTAGCTTTTATTATTATTTATTATGGTTAAGGGTTGTTTCCGCTTAACAAACAAAAAGAAGTTATCAAAGTGTTATTATTACAAAGCCCAAAACTCTTAATATGAGATACATCGTTCACTGACAGACACACTTATGACGCGCACCAATGAGGGATTGGTTCTACTTCTCTATACATATTTTCATTTCTGTTTTATTTGGTTGTTGTTCAGGGTTTCTTTTTTCTCGCTCACTTTAACTTGTCTGGTTTCATTTTAATAAAACAACTAATAATATGCATTAAACATCTTATACATATATTGAATATAAAAAAAGTGATTTCTTTCACATTTTAACGTTTGAGAATAGGCTGATGATGCTTTTTCTCCCCCACTGTCTCTAAGCAATCGCTTTACTGGATAAAACTGTTTATATCTCAGAATGTTAGCTATCCTGATGGAAACTTTGGAGGGAATTAACTAATAGATGGTTCGATTAGTCTTTCACCCTCCACCCCCCCTATATTCACGTTATACGATGGATCCGCACCTCAGAGTCGCTACGGTCCTCCACCAGAGTTTTCTCTAGCTTCAACCTTAACAAGCATATTTCATTATCTTTCGGGTTTCAACATGTACGCTCTTTCTCCGGCCCGACAGTGCACATAGCACAAAATCATATCTCTACGTCATCGGACCGATCGGTCATGTGCCTGTTGATTGCATCTTGGAATTTATGAACAAAACAACAGGATCTCACCTTAGTCTGGACAAGCCAAATCTTTACCTTCACTGCACCTTTGGGTTGCATAACACCCAGTGACTAGCGCACATTGTTAAACTCCTTGGTTCGTGTTTCAAGATGGGTTGGGGGGATAGTCTACTACAACACCACAAACTATTGGCCAAAACTAGGACAAACATACACACGCTACTGACAACCGAACAGAATCAAGCCATCAAATGACCAACCAAAACTTGTAACAAGTCGACCTGACTCAACCACGTCTAAAGGAGAGAATGCATACGCAAAGCCCCCGCCTCTAACACACCGTAAAGATCCAGCATAGCCTGCTATTAATACGCATAGCTCACAGAATGGACCAGTGAGTCACCCACCAACCTTACCAAGCCCAACGCTAATCAGTCCTTTTAAATTTAGTGATAATTTGATTTACTCATAAGTAGTATAAAAATTAACCATACATTTTAATGTGATCGGTTAAAAGATGTCGTATAATAATTTAATAAATATGTTCATTAAAGATTCTAAAAGACTGATTAGTGAATAAAGAATACTTAGTTCGATAACTTATTCATCATCAGGTTCTACAATTATATGATCATAATTAAAGAATTCAATATATAGAAAATATTCATTCAGACATTTTAAAGACAAAAGAAAATTTGAGTTTTAAATAACATTAAATCAATGATATGGGTAGATTACAGCTTGAGAGCACCTATGAGTGATAATATGCATAGAAATGTTAAGTTTAACTGAATATCAGAAGAACTAGGAAAAGTAATGCAGAATTAATGAATCTATTGGTACCACATAAGGATATGGGTAAGAAATGGAGGTTGGACCTATTTCTTTTGTAAACAGAATTCAGGGTGTTTTAAGTGAATTGCATTGGCCTCTGATATTTGGAGTCTTTGGTGTTTAGAGGTTTTTGGCAATTTATTTGGTATCCGATAGATAACAAACAGGAAGGGACTTTTCAGTGATAGCTTCGTGACCTGTCTGGACAAAATGATCTAATCTTGAACTGCTGATGGTTTTAATTACTTCTTTCTTTGGTTACACTCGTAGGTGCTCGTGAGAAGAGAAAATTAAGTTCCTAGAGCAACGACTAATATAACTGAGACCACAGGAGCAGATGAATTGATAGATACAATTATTAGCGGCTAGTCTAGGAACTTCGCCTTTCAGTTTTGGAATTTCGACTGGTCGTGTACACAGAGGTATCTTTTTAACAGATACCGGATAATTTTTTCTTACTATCTTGACCATGCGTTTTGTGATGAATTTTCCAGGGTAGCTATTTTCAGTTAACGTTTCATATGCAGACTTAAGTTCGTCTTCGATTACATCGTCTGACGTTGTATCTGAAGTATTTGCCAAATTTATTTTTATTTTTAAAAATATTTTATTATAGCTTGATTCCACACAGTATTTTGGATGCAAGTATGGAATTTTCCGCATGTTATATCGTTAGCCGAAGTATAGCAGGCCAACCAATAATATCAAGTGTGCGTCGGCCGGGGATCCAACCTCAAACCATCTGCGTGGTTGGCGAGAGTCCTAACCACTGTGCCACCGACATACTGGATAAGAATAAAGTTATTAAAATGTGTAAAGCAGCGGTTAACTGTCAACATATTTCTACAACGTAAATAGTGTTTGTTCATTTGTTCGTCAGTAACACAGGTGTTCCGCGTCTGTTTCCCAGTCAACGCACTCCTAAACGTCTTCTAGTTCACTAGCCAGTAGTAAGCCCAAAAAGGGGGGAAAGGTTAGTTATGGGGCTAGCGAGCTCACCACTATAGAGACTTCAAAGCTTGAGGCTGTATGTTTCAGTTTGGAACGCAGTGAACGAAAACAGGTTAAACTAAAGTATAATTATTAGATGTTGATAATTTGTTTGTTCAGAGTTAAATGAAAAACAGCGGAGTGGCCAAATAAAGTCGAAATATGCTTGCGCTTATATATTCTAAAATGGTTGGAAACAGTAAATCTTTAGCATAGAAAAAACTAGACTGGATTGGGATTTGAATATACTATAACTTCGATCACGTGATATCAAATGGATAATTTTTAAAAAAATGATCTGCGAAACACTTGCTCTATCATGAGGAGGACTCATCTATCTCTGCAAATAACGGCTGACTTCAGAGCTTCAGAAACCCCAGAACCCATTAATGGTGAGGACAGGCGACCTAGCTCCTCTATCGCAAAACATATTAGAGGGGCAGGACATAAAATTGATGTTTACACGTCTTTAAAACGTGTTTGGGGGCATATCCTAAAGATTTTGGAAGCCCTAACTAGCGATTAGAAAGTTTAAACCACCTTTATACGTTCAAAAACAATTTGTCATCACGCTAAATCTCCTTTGGTAAACTTTGTTTTGATACCAGGGTAGATGCACTGTTACCTCTCTTGTTTGGTTTTGTGATCTTCATTGTTATTTTGATCTTCAGCACATCCTTTTAATTTGACCTAAGTATATTTTCTCTGTTCCTAACTCTTCATTAATTTCATTTATATATATTCCTATGGTAATTTCGTGTGTGATCAGATTGGTCGAAATCAGACAAATTACGTCTTTTTATTGCTTTGTCTAAATTCACAAAGGGAACTAATCGTTTCTGAGACTTGCTTTTATTGTATAGGAACAATAAAATGTATGGTATAACCAATTACAGGTTTTCGTTTACTAAGTAATTCCTTTGAAATGATCTTGGAATATATTTCTTCTTCTTTATTGTTTTGCTTTCCAAGTTCGAAGTTCGAGGATTCAGACTTGGGCTTTCAAGTTTCAGGGGTGATGGTGCTTTTTAGGGATAGGGTTACTAGTCTCAAGCCCAACCTACTGTCTTTGTTAGGCTTACTACTACTGGCTAGCAGAGATTTAAGAGTGCATCGGCTGGGAATTGTATCCTGTCATCCTGACACTGAGCCAACAACACACATGACCTTCAAGTGCACCATTATAACTTTCATTCGATACTCCTTTGAAATACATTTTTATAGTCTGCTTATTAAGTAGTATTTCATATTATTTATAAAACATATAAGCTTTTATAGAGAAGATTTGTAGCTCAGGTAGATGATTTATAATTAATAGTGTTCTCTGAGATGGTTAGTTTAGTTGCGAAGCTTTCATGATACTGTATTAACAAACAAACAAACAAACAAACAAACAAACAAACAAAGACAATGTGACTACAAATCTTAAGTCGAAGATGTGTGACAGTTTATTTATTGCATTGTCGAAGACATGCACTGAAGATTTCGCCTAGTAGGCCAATGAAAGCTTCACAACTAAACCAACCAGCTCAGAGAACAATATTAATTGTATATAAGCTTTACTTAACTATAAATCAAGATTTAAGGTTCATAATGGAATTGTATATAAGAATTTACCAGATGATTCGTTATATTAAGAAGAAGTACCAAAACATCAATTTTATTAGATATATAGTGCTCATAATTGCCTCATTGGTCTCTCCTCGTTATTAAACTATAGTGAGGGATACTAATTTTCAGGCTGGACTATATGTGGCTTGGATGTAAACATGATTTAATGATCATGAATTTAAGTGTTTTATCCACTATGCATCCTTATGGATCATCAAACAGAGTATAAAATAGCAATATTCAAATCACTATCTCAACTCCATTGACTTTGGAAAGGCTTTTAGCAGACAGCGTTGACAGCGAAGTAAGTTGCAAAACTACTTCAACATTATGAAGTGCCTCGAAATTTTATCCATCTTATTCAATAGCTATACCGCAACTGCATGTATCAGGTGGTACACAGTGAGAAACTCAACGAGGCGTTTGAAGTGAAGAAAGGCGTAAGATGAGGTGGTCTAATGTCACCCGCGATGGTATTCCTGATTGTGGTGGGGTGGATTATGCAGAACACTGTAGGGATTAATACGAGAGGAATAATCTGGACCGATCGGAAGACCCTAGAAGATCTAGATTTTGTGGATAATTTACATTTAATGTCAAACAAACACGAAGACCTACAGGCGAAAACCAAAAGGTTGACCAAAGAAGGAGAAGAAAAAGCAGCAAAGACAGAACTTTAGGTGAACGTAAAGAAGACGTAGATGATGAGGATTACTGACCGACAACAACAAGCTCCAGTCACTAACAAAGGGAATAAAATTGAAACAGGTCACTTCCATCACGTATCTGAGCTCCATCGCTGCAGTTACAGGCAGACGGCACAGATACGAATGTCAAAATCAGAATTGGCAAGATAAGACAGATCTTCATCAATCTGAAATCAGCTTGGGAATCTTCTGCGTTCAGCACAAATAACAAAATTTTGATTTTCAACACCAATGTTAAATCCGTCAGTTCTTTTATATGGGTCAGAAACTTGGCCAGTGTGTCACAAAAAGCATTTCTAACAGGCTTCACACCTTCATCAACAGCTGAGTCCCCTGGCTCCATAGTGAAGATCAGACAGCCAGAAAGAATTGGCGATAAGAAAGTCTGGGAACAAACCCACCAAGAACCTATTACTCGACGAAGATGTAGAAGAAAGTGGAG